TTTCATCATATTACATACAATTAATCGCAAATGATATGTCCAAAACTTTATGTGATCAAAATAAACCGCTTAATATATAATTTTAACAGATTACGGATGCTGTGGCTACTCCAAAACCAAATTAAAATTATAAGATCACTAGACAATTATCAATTCCTTGCCTAAACTTTATGTGATTAAAACTTAATAATCTTAGGTAGCTGAATATGCTGTAGCATTTCCTTAATTAACCAAGATTGAAAACTCAAGATATTTCAGTAAATTAAAGATGCTTTGGCTATTCTTTAATGAACCGAAATAAAATCACATTGGCAAGAAATACTTAAAAAATTTTGACAAATAAGTTATACCAAATTGTGATGGGAAAATCTGAATATACTCCAAGGAAAGGTGGTTAGAGACTAAGTCTCACTGAAAACCAATTCCTTAAATAGAATATCAATTTTAAGGAGACTAGTGGCTCAAGAGGTTCTTAAGTCATGGCCATTAAAAATAGTATGTCTCCCCGATTCATATATACTTAATGTATAACTGTTTGGGGTATAAACCAGTAAACTGTATGGTATATACAAGAAAACTGTAAGGTTCACCTATGATTAAAGCTTAAATGGTGAACTAAAAATAACGGACTAAACGTGCTTAAATTCAGGCACTACCGCGACTAAAGTTTATGCGTAAGTCCAACTTAAATAGGAACTAATATAATTTCATCACAAAGTATACATTGCTAAAGGCATAATAAAATTGCATAATTTTAAACATAATATTATGCTTAGGACGAATATGCATAAAATTTAACATTAAACTCATATATTCCAAAAAAATTGCATGACTTAAAACAATTTACAATATGAGATTTTAAAGTATAAACTTAATATTCAAACACCAATGAGTCCAAACCAAAAGAGACTCAACATGTTGAATAATAATGTACTGAATATATACTTTAAAATTTTTAAATTGTAAGCCCATGGGAAAAAGTTTTAATGCATAAAGATCAAATTTATGAGAAATAACTGAATTTACAAATTCAAACAATATCAAACCAAAAGGATATGCTATCATTTGTAAATTAAAATCTCATAAACCCTAATTACATAATTAAACTTAATATTATGCACTTAATGTGATCGAATGCATAAAACAATCTAAGGAGTATGAACCAACTAAAGAATATGAATCTAAACAAAATATTCATTTATTCATACTTAACCAAATATGGGCAATCATAACTCAAAGAACTAAATGAATTATGAAATTAATGGCAAAAGTCAATTGCCTAGAAAATATGTTTTTCCAAAATTACTAAATTGATTCAAAATCACTCTCCATAACTCAGTTGATAATATTATTATTATTATTATTATTAATGGCAAAATTGCAAACAATCAAAATAGCAATAAATAGCTATAATAATATTATCACATTATGTATGTAGGAGACTAAATATGGAAAAAACAATGGTTAAAACCACTAACACTTATAAATATTTTCGGATAAAATTTTGAAAACTTAATAAAATTTGAAGTTCGAAAAATATTAATGTCCAGAAAATTATTTTCTGAACTGGAGTATTGTCACATAAATTTATTTGGAAACAGTCCAAGGTACACATCTGAATACCATAAGAATATTAATGTCATCATTAATCATTAATTAATTATTAATAGTAATAAGTAACATTATAATCACTATTAACATTAATAATAACGACAAAGTAAAGTATGGTAATGCACCTTTTAATGTTTCCATTTTTCTAAAGATAAAATATGTGACTAGTCCAAATTAGCGGTTTAACTATAACTGTAGCACTAATTATCAAAAATAACCGTAAAAGATAATTAATGGCTAACCTTAATGATGCAAACCGCATCTCTCCATTGCGCTAACAACGATGATGATCCACAAGAGAAGAAAAACTCCAGAATTCTCCCAATCTTCACTATCGGTGTCAATAAACTCGATGCAGCGTCCAATGGCACGTTAAAAAAATTATTGGTAGGACTTAATTACCAACATTAATAGTCATGTAAAATAAAGTGGTAAGCATGCCAATGTACCAAATATAGCAGATTACCATTAAATGCTAATTATTATGAAAAGTAATAAAATGAGATTAGCCCCTAAACTTAATAACAGTAATTAATAATGCTAATTAATAATAATTACAATAAAGACAAAACTGTAATTAAGGGATGCCAAATACTAATCTCAATTTACCACATAATAATTAACCATGACTATTATGATACTTAGGGAGACTGAAGTTAAAGTAATAACCAAATTACCATTATATAGACAATATACCAACTATATTGCTTTTGCCATAAAATTAAAGACTTAATATTATTATTAAGGCCCTGAAACTATTGATAGATTAAAAATTAATCAACTTAAACAATAGTTTGTAATTCTTAATTGCCAAAATAACAATTAAATCCTTAATCCTTAATGTCTCAAAACAGATCAAGACAATAATTATAGCACTCACTTAATTACTCAAATTAGACTCATAAACTGCAATGGCCTAAGTGAATTATAACATGAATGATAAATGGTCTAGTACTGAAATAGACCCAAAACTTAATATTATTACCAACGATGAATACCAAAAATGGTAGTTAGTAATAATTAAAACTTAATAAACATGTTATAAGGAGCTATAATTATTATTAAAATATCAATCAAAAAAAGGTGGGATCCATGCTTTAATGACTCATGATAGGTCCCAAATAGCTTGTTCAAAATAGGTTCTAAAGTCCCAGAGACACATAAAACTAAAATGTGCTCAAATTAAAGGGAAACCAAACAAGCTGCTTTAGTAGGTCATAATACCTAAAATTGACTTAAGGATCCAAAATTGAATGATTTTTAATAATGAATTTATGAGTTAATAATCTGCTAAATCCAACCTTAATGCATGCTATTATGAATATATAATTATAATAATAATTTATAAATATACGTAGCATGCTTGGATGTGCAAATTAATACATTATTAACCCATATATACTAAATAAATTGCAACACTCTAGGCAATTTAATTTGCACCTTAACATTAAATTAAAATTCAAATAGCAAATTAAAATTTAATATTTGCTCCAAATTGAATAATAATTTAATAATTAATTAAGGAAGAATTAAACTGAACAATTAAGGTAGAAGAAGTCTAAATATGATGATGGATCAACTAAATCTAGCCCAAAACCAAAATCAGGCCCAAGAAGATTTTTTTTTTTTTTAGTGTTGGACCAGGTCTGCCCAATGGGCCTGACCCGGCCCAACCCTATGACCCATCATCATCTTCTTCACATTAATCAGCCCTAGCAGCTGTCCGGAACTACGAGGGAGAACAGCAACAATCCGGAGCCGGCGCCGCCTGGAGGAGGAGAGGGAGCAATTATGTCGCTGGAAATCCAGCTTCACCGCCGTCGTTTCTCTTTTTCGCAGCGCCAACGTCCGCCGCCTGCTCTCACCGCGAAGCCATCGGAATGCTCTCGTCGTCGATTGGAGCTTGAGGAGCAGCGACAGCCCGTCTCCAGCGTCGCCTGAAGGAGGAGGAAGCAGGACGTCGACGGGAAACCCAGCGTCGTCGCTCCAGGTCGCAACGCTAGCACCGCCGCTGTCAACTCCGAGTCGCAGCTGCAAACAACCGCATGTTCTGAAAGCGGAAAGCACCGGCGATCTCCTTAATCTGCAGCCGTCGTTCTCTCTCGTCGCCGGTAGGAGTCGCCGGAAAACGCACCCATAGCCGTCGGTTCTCCAGTAGCAGTGGCCGGCCAAAAATTGGAGGAAACTGAAGCTCCTTCTTCTTGTTGTTACTGTTGCTTCACCTCCAAACGGAGAATCGCCGAGGTTAATCCAAAACAGTAAGCAAACAATTCCAGGCATATATTTACAAAAATTAAAATCGCCCTCAATGTTGAAATTGAATCAATGATTCAAAAACAACTAAAATTAATTTTTGGCCGTCTTAAACCAATTACAAATAATACATTCAAAATATACATAATATTTTGCTTAATTATATCAAAAAGATATATTTTCTATGCATATTTTGATGAATTAGAATGAATGTAATTGAAAAATAAAGTATATACAAAACTTAATGTATATGAAACAAATTAATGTTGATCATAGGCAATACAATCAACCAGGCAGAGATTATAAAGGATCTGATACCAAATGTTAGATATACAATAGTCTAACTACATGAACCATAGTATACGAGAAACCTAACCTCGTATGATAGCGGAAGCGTAGCCATGTTGATCTCCAGCCATAGTTGATGTTCCTGTTGTGTTGCCTCTTAACGGTAGACCATCAGCCATGTTTTGTCTCAGACCTGACTCAGAACCCTAGATGGCGTATTGGTATCTACTGAGCAGTCTGAGTACCGTAACTGAATGTGCTATCTAATCCATAATCCTGTATCCCATCAATCCAGGTTTATATTAGGCACAGAGTTTGGTTGACTAACAACTACTAGTTATTAAGTCCAACCAGACCACTTAATAAGCCTAGTCAACTTGCACCACTTAATTAAGGCCCTAATATATATATATATATATATATATATATATATATATATATATATATATATATATATATATATATATATATATATATATATATATATATATATATATAATATATTATTAGGGAAAACCTTACATGTTATGCAAGGGGTTTAGTTGATGATGATAACGAATATGTTGATGCAATAGATGAAGCCAGTAATTGGGCGTCAGCAGATCAATTGAGGAGATTGTTTGTGACATTGCTAATGAGCAGTTGCATGGGGAAACCGGAAATAGTTTAGCATGCTGTGTGGCAACATCTATCAGACGATGCACAATTCAACGTCTGTAGACAACTGCAGAACAGAGGTAATCGTACATTTTAAAAAAAAATATTAAGTCAAGTTTAACGTAGTTGTGTTATAACACAAAATTTTAATATATATTTATGTAGATTTTGTGTTGACCGATTCGCACAAAATGAACTTTGCTTTAGTAGAGATTGAGAAGCTATTATCTAATCATGATAAGAGTTTGAAGGACTATCCTGAAATGCCAACGGCAAATTTTGGTGCCTTAAACGTTATTGCAAATAGGTTTATTCAAGAAGAATTAGCATACGATTGTGGCGAACAGGAGAAAGAGAATCAAGAATTGGTAAGGCAGTTAACAGACGAACAAAAGGCAATATACAATGAAGTGTTAACTGACGTTGATCGCCAGGAAGGGGGGTTATTTTTCGTTTATGGTTATGGAGGGACCGGTAAGACTTTCTTGTGGCGAGCACTTTCTTCCGCATTAAGGTCTAAGAGTCAGATAGTGTTAAATGTTGCTTCTAGCGGCATAGCTTCGCTTTTATTACCTGGTGGGAGGACGGCACATTCTCGGTTTGCTATACCGATAGCTGTTAATGAAGATTCCACATGCAACATACGTAACGGCAGTGAACTGGCAGAACTGCTTGTGCAAACCAAGTTGATAATATGGGATGAAGCCCCAATGATGCATAAATTATGCTTTGAAGCTCTTGACCGAACTATGCGGGATTTGATGCGCTTCATAAATCCAAGGAGTTCTGATATGACATTTGGTGGTAAAACAGTTGTTTTGGGGGGGCGATTTCAGGCAAATTTTACCAGTCATTCCAAAGGGTACTAGACCGGATATAGTTCGAGCGAGCATTAGCTCATCCTATCTCTGGAAATCCTGTAAAGTCCTAAGGCTTACTAAGAATCTACGTTTGAAAAGTGTTCAATCAGAAAACGAGTGCAAGGAGATCGAGGAATTTGCAAAATGGATAGCTAATATAGGTGACGGAATTATTGGGTGTCAACTTGATGGGGAGTCCGAGATTACTGTTCCAGAAGATTTGTTGTTGAAGTGCGTAGATGACCCTATTGCTACAATTGTTGATAGCACTTTCCCTAATTTCCGACTGGGAATTGCCGATTTGTCATATCTTAATCATAGTGCAATTTTAGCTCCAACATTGGATGTGGTAGATGCCGTTAACCAATACATGAATGATCATAATCCGGCTGAGGGTAAGACATACTTGAGTTGTGATTCTGTGTGTAAGTCAAATGCAAATGTTGACATGTTAGCGGATTTGCACATTCCCGAATTCTTGAATGCCTTGAGATGTTCTGGAGTACCAAATCATGCTTTGACATTGAAAGTTGGATCACCTGTTATGCTATTGCGAAATATTGATCACACACTAGGATTATGCAACGGTACAAGGTTGATTGTTACAAGGTTGGCTGACCATGTGTTGGAAGGCCAAATCATGTGCGGTACAAATGCAGGAACCAGAGTATTGATTCCTAGGATGTCACTTACACCGTCAGATCCAAGATTGCCTTTCAAATTTCAACGAAAGCAATTTCCTTTGATGCTATCCTATGCCATGACAATCAACAAAAGTCAAGGACAAACGCTTGCTTGGGTTGTTGTTGGAAAAACCTGTCTTTAACCATGAACAACTATACGTAGCTGTTTCAAGAGTTAGTAACCCCAGGGGTTTGAAAATTTTGATTTGCGGGAAAGTGTACCATGTCTTAGTACAACTAAAAATGTTGTGTACAAAGAAGTCTTCAATAATGTATAATAACATTCCAGAATTTATTATTTAAAATTTAGTATTTTTTTAAATAATAAGTTTCTTATTATTATTATATTATTATACGTAATATTCTATGTATAATAAAATTACTATATTCATCAATGTGTAATAAAATCACAAGTTTTCATTTCACATTTTGTCAGTTTCAAATAACTATATTCTATACTGTATATATATCATACTATATATATAGCCGCGCATCGCGCAGGTGCACCTACTAGTTGATATAAGTAGTACATTTTTAATATATTAAAAATTCATTTTTTATACACTAAATGTTCTTCTTTTTTAAATACATTATTTGTATTATAAAATTTCATTATTTGGTAGTATATACTAAATAATGAACTCTCAGTACACAAATAATATACTCTTAATATATTAAAAAAAAATACTTATTCATGGTTCGCATTGTCACATTGCAATGTAGATCATGATTGACAATATAATTTACCAGCTGACAGTTAAGTACTCTGTAAGGCCTAAAATTTTTTCTCTTTTCCCTTTTTACTAATGAAGTTTCATTTGATTAAAAAAAATTAACAATAAATATTTGAATTTTTTTTGTTTCCAACTAATTTTATATCAAATATATGAACAAATTTCATTTTTAGTCCTTAATTATTTTATGGCATTGTTACTTTTGCTCATACTTTTTAAATTTTGTATCATTACATTATTGATTTTGATTTGCTTGCTACAATTAATCTTTATTTTAAATTTCTGTCATTCCACCATTTAATAATAAAGAGAGCTAACATGTAATTTTATCATTCAGTTACAAGAGTTTACAAGTAAGGAAGAAAAATTACAAAGTTCAAGATTTAAAAATTGAACATTAGTCATTCATGAAATTAATTTAAAACTTTTATAGATATTCTTTATCTTTTAAAATTCAGTCATTGTTTTACAATATTTATATTATTGGTCATTGTCATAATAATTTCTTTTATTCATTGGTTACCATTATTTAGTTGACCCCATCTCGCATTAAAAATACACTAATTATTAATTAAATACGAACCATATACTACCATATCATATGGTGAAAAATGTTGGTCCATGTAGCATGATCCTAATTAAATATTATCATGTAATAATGTAAATTTTAAAAACTAAGATTAGAAAAAGGATGTAGTATTACTCATAAAATGATATAAATTTCATACGATGTAATGCATTTTGATCAATTAATTATCAAAGATCTTGGGTCAAGCGATATAACTGGAAAGTCACAAATTCAAATCTCAATGGAAGTATTATATTGACTTTTTATAGAGTCAATAATACTAAAAAAAAAAAAAAAAAAAAAAAAAAAAAAAAAAAATCACATTAAATCAACATGCATGTACACAATATCTCAAACAATTTTTTTTTATTTGTTGTTGATAATTACATGAATGTGTGGGGTGGGATGTGTTGTCAGTCACTATGATTGCTATTTTCCAACTCATAATTTGATCTTTTATGACTTTGAAGGTCATTTTTTGTTCTTGACCACCATTGGAAAGGATTGGTGGATTTCCCTTTTTCATTACCCTTTTGACCATTTTATCCTGAATTATACAATTATATATATTTTTGACATTTATTTTTAATCAAGGCCAAATTATATTAATTAACAGTTATCTTCAAAAAAAAATATTAATTAATAGTTTTCTCTACAATGAACATATATGATTATAAATTTAATTTTAAAAAAAAAATCTCTATCATTACGAAAATTGTTAAAAAGATTGGGACACAAATATATAACTTCATTTGAAACTTTAAGACCAAAAATGTAAAGGTGAAAATAAAAGAGGCAACCTTGTATTTTTTTATTTATTTTTTTTTTTTTGGGTTCTCAATAATAGAGGTAACCTTGTATTAAAACTTAAGAACCATAGCATGTGCATACAAAACAATTACATACAAATATAACTATTTTATTGTAACATAGGAATTAAAAATATATAAATAAAGGTGTTTTTTGTTAAAATGTAGCTAAAGTACATTTGCAAGTTGCATGTGTGACTCTTTTATTTATTTAAATAAAATATAATAACCCATATATTTTGGTCTCATCTCTTTACTTCTCTCCCCCACCTTTGTACTCGATCTTAAAATATTTTGAAGGAAAGGAAATTAAATTAATTAATAAAACTTGAAGATATGGTTCAATGTTACCATTTAAAAATTAAAGATTAAAGATTATACATGATAATGTAACATGCCAATCATGTGGGGCCAATAAATAAATAAATAAATAAATAAATATATATATATATATATATATATATATATATATATATATATATATATATATATATATATAAGGGTTCAGGTTCGGGAATGACTTCCTGTGCGGTTGTGCTGTTGGACGCACTTTAAGTATTAAAATGACGCACATTAAGTATTAATTTCGCGCATCTTAGGTTATAATATTAACGCACCTTAAGCATACGAATCATGCACATTAAGCACAGAACACACGCACATTAAGAACAAAGCTCACACACCTTAAGTTTTAACAATTACTCACATTATATATATATATATATATATATATATATATATATATATATATATATATATATATATATATATATATATATATAAGGGTTCAGGTTCGGGAATGGCTTCCTGTGCGGTTGTGCTGTTGGACGCACCTTAAGTATTAAAATGACGCACATTAAGTATTAGCTTTGCGCATCTTAGGTTATAACATTAACGCACCTTAAGCATACGAATCATGCACATTAAGCACAGAACACACGCACATTAAGAACAAAGCTCGCACACCTTAAGTTTTAACAATTACTCACATTAATCACTAACCCCACGCACCTTAAGCACAAACTTCACGCACCTTAAGCACAAACCTCACGCACCTTAAACACAAACCTCACGCACCTTAAGTTTCAACAACTACTCACATTAAGCATATAACCCACACACCTTATGCACAAACCACACGCACATTAAACACAAAACTCATGCACATTAAGCCCAAACTCAAGCACCTTAAATTTACCTAGATGCAAAAATTACCAAATTGCAAGCATTTTTATTTTTATTTTGATAATCTTGAACGTTGATTACGCAAGATCAAGGGCTCAGATTTAACTGCACAATCGCACCTAGGACTGCCAACCACACCATAACCTAATTATATATATATATATATATATATATATATATATATATATATATATATATATATATATATATAATAGTTTGTAATTCAACATTGAATTTTCAATTCAACAAACTTTCAAACCTGTTTAGGAATTCCAAAAATGCTTGTCACTAATATCGATCGCCAGTCGTGGTCAATAAAATTAAACACCAACAAAAGTTGTCAAGATTGTTTTAAAAAAAAAAAAAATGGACGGTTAGGTAGTCTTAAGGGATTTTTTTATTTTTTTGTTTTTTGTAAATCATTAATTGAAAGTGATGATAACATCAAGCACCAACAAATCAAAAAATTGTTATTGTTGGTTTTCATATATATATATATATATATATATATATATATATATATATATATATATATATATATATATATTTAAAGTGTATTTGCCGAAAGTTAACTTCCAAACTTTGAATTGTCCGTCAAAAAATTCTTACCACAGAAAAAAAAAATAGATGGATTATTAGAAAAAAAAATAGATGAACTATGTTGTAAGCTCATTATATTTAATACGAATTTGTTTTTAAAATTTAACATACTGTATATTTATTTTTGGATAAGATAGATAACCCACCCAACCATTATAGCATATTAGCATTAATATTATTTAGTAACAAATTGCAGTGCACGGAATTGTAACCTTTTTCCATCTTTTGCACTCAACTTGTGATTAGTATTTTCTTTTTATCTTAAATTTATATTATCTTTGTTTTCTTGCGCAATATAAAAACTCTCTCACATTTTACTCGTAAATTATCTTTTACCTCAAGGGTTATCACTCTTCAACTTTGATCTCTCTCTATATATATATTTTACTTAGGTGATCCCAATTTCATCGGACTAATCTTGAACTCACAGGACCTCGCCCCTAGAGTCCCAACAGAGGTAAATTGTGAGTTACCCAATCAGAACACTGGTCAGACCCTAGTCTTTATGCACACACACAGAATTCAATCCACCTTCATTCCATCATCTTAGACATTTTTCCCATTTATGTTTTCAATGGAATTATGAACCCCACGTTGCAGCTTTCCGTCGTTACATCAAATGGGATGACAAATCATTATGCTAAGAGCATCCACATCAATTGAGGATAATGGGGGATAATGTAAGAGTGATTAGGAGAGAGAATGTGGGAGGGGAGAGAAAAAAAAAAAGAAAAAAAAAAAGAAAAAACTGATTAAAAAAAATATATAAAATAAAATAAAGGCTTGTAGCGCGCCTGACGCGCTACACGGGCGCGTGTAGTGCATGTGCCCGTGTGGCTCTTGGCTGTGCGAAAACGCGCACAGTATCTGTCTTTTTTTTTTTTTTTTTCTGACATTATTTTGTGATTTGCAGGACAAATATCTCCTCAAATAACCTCATGCCACATTTGCTATTAACCCCACCCAACATAATTGTTCTAACATTAACCCCATATTATCCACTAGTGTGGATGTTCTAAGCTCCTGAGGCAACTTTAATCTTATTTTCTTACCTCTAGGCAGAATTGGATAAACTACTTTACCTCTTAGGTTTTGCTTTTCTGCAGTAAAACTTAATTTGTAGTATATTCTATATAGGGTACTATAACATTCATTGCCCAAATTAATTTATTTCTTGTACGTATGTTATTTAACAAATTTTTATAATTTTTAAATTCGGTAATTTGTGCTTAACAATTTTTTTTGGTGTAGTTTTTTACTATATTAATTTTATTTACTAATGCTAAATTGAATTAAATTAAATATTACAAAAATTAAATTATAAAGGGTTAATTCCAGTAATAGTCCTCTGACTATTGTAATTTTCCAAATTTAGTCCTTGTCTTTTAATTTGAACGAAATAAATTCTTGACTATCAAAATTGTTCCACCATTAGTTCTTCCGTTAACCAAGAGTTAAATAGGCGTTATGTTAAGGGGTAAAAGGGTTATTTCCTCTAGTTTCTTCTTCTTGATCTTGGTTTCAGTATATGTATACATTACACGCAGTGCATACCTAATATGGAGTTTGTAACATCAATGTAATGTATCTCCGATCCCTTCCAAAGAGCATTTGCAGGCGTGAAGCCTTCTCCTCTGGGAACAACAAAGTCGTCAACAATGAAGGATTTAACGCTTTCCAATTGAATTTAACCCTTAAATTTCACTTTTGGTTTCAAATGTACAGGTGGGAAGCAATACAAAGGTTGCAAATTAGATTTTTCTTACTTGGCGTCAAACTAGTCTTTTGGTGTTCAATTTCAATTCATTTAATCAATAGCTGCAGTCAGAAGAACTTTTCTCTCATCATCATAAGACGTAACCATATAGAATATCCTGTATAGTTTATTTAAAAGTCTCGATACTCCATGTTTGGGAGAGGGATGCATCACAAGATTCTTCAAGTTTATGAAAATAGCATGTCAAGAGTCGTTGAATTCCCTAACACCAATGGCTTGTCGCATGCGTTTTGTATAGTCTGCATCAGACCGGTAAATGTCAAAAACTTCATCAAGCTGGCCAGCTTCAATCTAAGAGCATTTTGGGGAAGAAGAGACCTAGGTATGGAAATTACCCTTTTACCCTGTAATTTAACGCCCATCTAACTCTTGGTTAACGGAAGGACCAATGGTGGAACAATTTTGATAGTCAGGCCAAAGGTTTATTTCGTCCAAATTAAAAGACGAAGACTAAATTTAGAAAATTACAATAGTCGGAAGACTATTGCTGAAATTAACTCTTTAATAAATTTGAGTTTCTCCTAAAATAATAATAATAATAATAATAATAATAATAATAATAATAATAATAATAATAATAATAATAAAACATTGATGCTCCATGATAAAATTATAACGGTTAGAACAATATTGATGAGATTGAAACGATTAAGCCACTTCCACCGTACTTTTATCTTTCTGGTTAAAATTTTCATAATTGAAAATTATCCACCACTTTGATCATTCGAATTACAATTAATCTTAATGACCTTGAAGTTAAAACTTCTGTAATTGAAGTTATATATCATTCTGATTGCTCTAATTACAATTCGGTCCAATTATTTAACTTAGAGCATTCCTAATAAGAGGTTCTTCAATGGTTTTTGCAGGTTTCAAAGCATATTTAAAAAAAAAAAAAAAGATTTTAAGTCTTTGCAAAAGAGATTGGTTTTTACTCTGATTACTAGGCCCGACAAAAAAAAAAAAAAAACAAAAAAAAAAAAAAACAACAAAACAAAACAAAACAAAAAAACAAAACAAAAAAAAAAAAAAAAACAAAAACAAATAAACTGCTTGGTGAGTGAGGCACACCAAGAACACCCAGCCGGGGGCTTAACCGTTTTTTTTTTTGGACTGATAATAATGAGTTTTACTAAATGTACTTCCAAATCATTACTCCCTCAATTTTACTCCCTAATGTGGCAGGCTCTGATAAGTTACTTTTGTCATGTAAGCTACTTTTGTCATGTAAACCCTAATACAAGTGTTTACATCAAAATTTTGTATGTGAGCAAAAATTGGAAATAGAAAATGGCAAAACTCACAACATTTTTCTAATATGGAGTAATATAATGTTGACTGATAATTTTCAAGTCTTTGTGATTTGACATTGAGGTGGTATATGACTTGATTTATTGATTTCACTTTTAAGTATGAAAAGACCTCAGAATTTATCCGTAGAAATTGAAGAGACCAAAGAATTTTTTATTCAATTTATCTGTATAGATCATTCTTTCTTTAATGTACTGAAGCCAAAAAATAATAATATTAATAATTATCATAATGTGCTATGTCGGACAAAGATACTAAAAATTAGAATCATGATTGATTTTCACAAGAATCCTACTTTAAGATAATATGATATTTTAGCATTTCATAAATCATAAATCATTTTATTTTAAAAAGAAAAAGAATATGCAAAATAACAAAAGCATTATCAATTGTCATGCCCATCCAATTGCCTATCACATAAAATTTACAAAAAGTGTTAATACCAATTTTGATCTCTCATTTTTATTTATGATAATAATCAAATTCAATGACCAAAATAACTCAGGTCGAATCCAAATTAATCTCACAATGATTTAAAAAAAAAAATAGATACTGTATTTAAAAATAAATCATAAATGACAAACTTTTGTCCTCACTATTGAAAATGTGTCTAAAAGTTATACATTTTAATAGTTAAGTATTGAATCTGATCAATTCTTAACTCAAGAATCAAAAGTGAAAAATTACATTACAATAGTAAAAAAAAAAAAAAAAAAAAAAAAAAAAAAAAAAAAAAAAAAAAAAAAAAAAAAAACAAACAAACAAAGCTGAAATTAACCCGGCCTATTGGGGGCATTTGGTTAAAATTAAATCACATAACCCTGATAACATAGGTATTAAAATAAATATTATGTCGTAGTTTGATTCTGGAGAATGTTAAATTCGTAGATGTGACAACAGACAACCTGAACCAAACGGCACATGAAAAGAATAAATTCTAGTTAGAAGGACATAAAAGAGTCCAAGTAATGGTTGACACATACCCAACTTGATTTAATGGATTTCAGCCTAAGAAAAATTCAGAGAGATGGAAATGAGAATATGGCATTGATTGGTGTTGTGTGTATTGAGTGGGGGTGACAGGGATGATTTTGCAGGGGCCAATTCACACCATGAATATTCTTATAACATTAGTGCATGCTGCCACGGCAAAAAAAAAAAAAAAAAAAAAAAAAAAAAAAAAAAAAAAAAAAAAAAGGCAAAACCTTAATCTATAGGGAAAGAAAGACAAATGCAATTGCAGCTTGACACCACCTCCACTCCCCCAAAGATTGTTGTCCCATTACTCCAAATCCTCTTTCTTTTTTGCTTCTCTTGTTTTCAAACTTTACTCAGTTTCCCATTCATCAAAAGCCATTGCAGATAACAAAATTATTGGCCTTTGTTTCCTGGGAAAAGCTGTACATATCTCTCTATCACCAACCCTCTTTGCTTTCTTTTTCTAAAAATTAATTTCTCCTTTCAAGCTTTGACCATATTTTGGCCCCACTATGAATTAATTAATTGAATAATAAGTGATAGAAGTTAATATCATCCAGAGTCCTCCGAGTATAGTAGTTTTGCCATGTGATCCTAAACTTTTAAATTGACCACCTGTGGTCCTTCAACTTTCAAATTTTTACCATCCATGGTCCAAGTTAACCACATGGTTCTTCAACTATCAAATTTTAACTACCCACTAGGAAGATCCTGGCTGGTTAAATTTTGAAAGTTGAAGGACAATGCATGGTTAACTCGGACCACGGATGATAACAATTTGAAAGTCAAACTCACAGGTAGTCAATTTGAAAATTTAGGACTAAACTTGACAAAACTACTGTACTCAAGTGAACCCATATGGCATTAACTCATAAGTGCTAAAAATTGCTTCAGCCCTAGCTCTTACTGCCTTGGCACCCTAAGCAAATCCCACATTAACCGTATATAACGGTTGATGTTGAGTTATAAATTTGGACTCCCCCCTTGACCCTTAGAGCAAAACAACCATTGTCCCCGAAACTATGATTAATAGACACAAATGGTACTTCTCTTGGAGTTTCGTTAAAAATATTGAGCGAAAAAGAACCCACTTCTATCCACTTCCAATATTTTAACACTACCATTGCAATGAAAATGGAAACAATAAAAAATTCGAGTAATAAAAATCATCTCAATTAATGAAATCAGATATATATTGACTACCATTGCAATGAAAATGGAAAGAATAAAAGATAATAATAATCCTCTCAATTAATGAAATCAGATAAATAGGCAAATTATCATGTGGACCCGGATACAAAAATACACAATTTACATACTAAATGTTCACAATTTACCTTTTAAAAATTCACAATTTATGATAACCCTGTATTTTATTCACAAATTCTCAAAACTTAGAAATACAATTTATATTTTAGATGTTCATAATTCCAATACTATAAATACACAATTGAGAACCAGGATCCACCTTGCAAGGTGGACCCTGGTCCATGGTATAACAACTGAGATAAATATTGATCCCACTGTTTCAGAAATGGGAAAACAATGGCTTTGCATTGGGATTTCTGTTATCTGTTACAAAAGGACCACTAGTGTGTAATTTTCAATAGTTGTACAATCTTAATAAATCTGATAAAATAAGATTAATGTGACAGCCACATACATTAATATCTCCATTATTCACTTTCTATTATTTGCTTCTTTTCTGTGTTAAAGTTTGATCATATAGCATCACTCTACCATTATAATAAAAATTGTATGACCTTTACTGGACTAATAATTGTAAAAGCTTGATGCAAGATAAAAAATAAAAAGGTCTCAATAATGTCCAAATCTTTAAATTATTTTCATAGTGCAGCTGCCTGCTTGGTTAGTTGATTGAAGAGAACAATGCATATGCAAAAAGATATCCAATTGGGAGAAAAGAACACAATTATTAGGAGAAAAAAACTTAGGAGCATACCGATTGATGTCAGCTCTTAAATGGGCTAGGGTCATGCATGGCCGTTGCAGTGCCTGTTCATTCACCAATAAAAGATGATTCAGAAGAAAAAAAAAAAAAAAGCAAATGTCATAAAAACTTTTGATCACTTTGTAATGATCATCATATTGACCAGAAAGGTAATGCTAAGGTTGCCAAAATAACGTTTCCTTCACGAAAACTGCAATAAAGATTGTAGAAAAGGTGCATAAAAAACCCATCTCCTTTTGCTTGTGTGAGAAGATACTGAGAAAAGAACCTGCCCAATGGTTTTGTGCACTCACCCTGCAGCTTCCTATACAAACTGTGTGACATCATAATAACAACAAGATCGAAGAGCAAGCACAATGATTCTTGTGAGGCTAAATCACACATTCAGTGCTCGTATAAATCATTAGCAACATACCCACCATCATTTAATGATTCTTTGCATTTTACAATATGCGAAAAATACCCTGATTCCTTTGGGAAGGTGTTGTCACACAATGCATAAATGGGACACCGTGTAATGCACTGCCAGGGCAGAAAGCACAAACCAACAGATTTAAGCACATGAAATAGTATGAAATAAAAGGAATAGCAAAGAGATTTGCAATATAGCTAAAAGGCTCCCCTTCTAGGTGCTAGGCTGGGGTTCAAATCCTATCTTCATTCCCTACAAAAAAAAAAAAAAAAAAAAAAAAAAAAAAAAAAAAAAAAGAGAGAAAA